GGAGGAGGGACAAGAGTCTTTAAAACATGTAGCTTTATAACTTTTTTTTTCTATATTAGCTCCCAAGCTCAAGAAGTTTAGCTACACATCTAGTGCAATTTCGACAATATCTATGTCTCTTTGAGCTTAGATTAGAAAAGGTAAATGTGTGTAAAATTACAGAAATCTATATTTAAATTACTTTGGTGTATTGTGCATAGCCATGGGGGAGTTTTCTATCAATAGGAAAAACTTTTTAAAACACAGTTAAAAGTCAGAAATGTATATGTCCACTTTTACTTTCCAAAGTCATCCGGTGGTCCAGATTGGAGTCTTCACCAGGCTGATTCTGGCCCCCAGTCCTTATGTTTGACACCCCTGTGCTAAAGAAAGGCTGTAGGTAGATAGGATAGGTCATACATTAAGAAAAGAAACAGACTTGAACTACAAAAAATATGAGAAATTTCCTGGATATCTACAAAATGCAACAAGGCAACTGGCAAGGTAATTAAACATATACTGGGATGATAATATACTTTGATTATGGACAGGTGAGGCAGAAAATTGGAAAAGCAAACAAAACTAGACAAAATGTAGAGAGTAAAAGTAAAGTGCCCACAAATGTCTGTGATTTCAAAATATGACAGGATATTGCTGAATAAGAAGGAAATTCAATAATTATGATTGTGTTTTTGACAGCCTGTTAAGTTATAACCAAAATACCTAAATGTAAGTGTACAATAACAGTTGATTGTTGACTTTATAAATAGCAGTTTGAGATATTTATCCCAAAAAAGCCCCATTATTAGACCATACCAGAACTTGTCATATTGTTAGCATTGTTTTTTGAATGAGACTCTCTCTAAGGTCAAGGATGGGCATTCATGCTTAAACGTAGTAACGTTTGCATTTTCCTTTTATAATGCACCAATGAATCCCACTTTATCATGTACTGTCATGTGCTGTAAATATACCATTCTTAATCCATAGGTTTTTAATGTTCCACTATAACAGCTTCATCTCTTCTGGGAAAAGATTTCCACAGACACAGATGAGAAGACCTGGCTTGCAGTCTTGGCTCTATTTCACCCCAAAGGTGTTCTGTCAGGTTAAGGTCAGGATTCTGTGAGTCAAGTTCTTCCACATCAAGCTCGCTCTTCTATGTCTTTTGATTCTGTGAAGCACTTTGGCACACCTCTGATTTTTTAAAAGTGCTATATAAATAAAATTGTTTTGTATTGTATTGTATTTATGGACCTTGCTTCTTGCACTGGTGTGCAGTCATTTTGGAACAGCGGGCCATCTCCAAATTGTTCCCACAAAGTTCAGAGCACGAAATTGTCCAAAATGTCTTGGTGTGCTGAAGCATTAACAGTTCCTTTCCACTGGAACTGAGGGGCCGAGCCCAACTCCTGAAAGCCACACACCATAATCTTTGAGATAATCTTACTGCCACAAGATGTTTGGACATCAGCAGTGATTGACTCTGCAGAAAGTCATGACCGTTGCACACTATGCACCTCATCATCACCCGAAAAGCGCTATATAAATGCAATCCATTATTATTATTATTATCATCTGTTGAACCTGCTGTGTGATTTCACATGGTCTACCACTTCATGGCTAAGTTGCTATCATTCCCAGTCCCTTCCACTTTGTTATAATACCACTAACCAGTGGTTAACTGCGAAATACTTAGGAGTGAGGACATTTCACAAAATTGTGTTCTTTGTTAACCATCACTATGTCTGATTGGTTTGACAGCAGCTGGAACTGAAAATTTCACAGTACTGTTCTCAAGCAGATTTGGTGGTGTCTCCCATCAGCATATTTGGTCTTCTGGTCCATATGCAGTACAGATGTTCTTGTATACTTTTCCAGCCAGTTGGTGGTCCACGATAGTTCCTCTTCCTGTTCTGCATAACCATCTGTCTTGAGCTGGCTGAGGCATTCTGGGAGCAGCTCATCTCATTCTTTATGTATTCTTGGATGCTCTGTGTTTCCTCCTGGATCATTGCTCTGACACTCACCAGCCCTCACCCTCCCTCTTTCCATTGCTTGCTGCACTCCAGGCGGAGACCTCCATGTATTGTGAAGAATTTTTGTGTTTTGACATCAGTGGCATCTATCTCCTCCCGTGGCCAGTTTTGACTCTGCCTGGGATTCTGATGACTGGTAGAGCATATGTGTTGATGGCTTCGATCTTTTTTATATCATTTACCTATCTTCTCAACACCTTCCTTACCTGGTGGTGGCTGATCTGATCATCTTCATCAGGGTTTTTGTTGGTCTGTGAGATAACCAGGTACTGTCTTGGATTTCAGCTATTAAGGTGGCTGATGGTCACTCTACTCCTGAATCTATATCCGCATAAACACTTAGTTATGCGTTAGCTAAGGGGATGAGGCCTTGGAGTTGGCTTTCAGTGCTGTCTTCTATAGTCCCACTGAGTTCTTGATCAATGTTATTAGTCCACTATTAACCTTGTACAGTGCCATCCATGTATGGAGTCGTGCGCTTTCTTGTAGTTGATCCCTGCAGCGCTGAGATTGGTCCATCTGTTCTTGGAGACCTACTGTACTGCTCTCTCGAGTTGGTGCTTCGGCACTCTGGTGTTTTTTCCAATGACTTTCTGAGCTGTGCTCATGTATGAACTGTTATGATGCCTGATAGGAGCTTCCATGTTCCATGTTGTGAAGAGGCATGTAATTGGATGATAGTTGTATGTTGTTGTACCCTTGAGATCCTTCATGATCAGGATTGTTCAGCCCTGTGTTAGTCAGTCTGGATGAGTACCTGAGTCTGCCAGCAGGAAAGTAAATATCTTGTCCGTGTATTTTGTTCACTCTCATGCCTGGACCTATTAAACTAGTGATTTATAGTAAGACGAGGGGTTAAAAACTCCACTTCTGCTAGTCACATACAATAAAACCACATGCCCCGTCAAGCGTGTTATTTTTGCATAAATTTGATTTTATGGTGTCATTAAAGCCACATCCCTTTTAAAACATTGACTCATCAGCATTATGATGTCAGTGGGTCATCTGGCTACCAGTTTGTTCCACTAAATGTACAAAAAGAAAAACAGTTAAGGTTTTATTATGACTGTTATGGGATATTGCACCAATCCCTGGGGCACAATTTTATGGTAAAACGTAGCAATGTGTTGTTATGAGTTGCCATTAATATGGTGTAATACATAGAATACAAATATTAGTGTATGAAATAAATGCAACTGATATGTTTTCATATTTTCTTAATATGATGTAGCCTAAACTGCAAAATCAGTAGTGAAAAAAACATGATCCATTTAGTTGTAAGTCACATGTCAAAGAGTTTTTTCAATTGTAATTGACGTGTATTTATAAAGCAATAAAAAGCACCATTTCACATTATGTCCTCTGCTTGTATGTGTTTATTTATATGTTTACACACAGAGTAACATGAGATTTAGCTAGAGGCTACAAATTATCTTTCTGGCACACTAAAGCAAGAGAGTTGTTGTTTTTTTTTAATGTGATGTCATTCTTAATTACTAAACACTGATATGGCACAGTCACTGAATATGTTCCTAACACCTCTCCAAAAACAACAGCAACCCAGACTTTTTCTTCTTTTTCTTTTGACAGTCTCTCCAGTTAACTCTGCATGGGGGAGATGTTGTTCAGCAAAGAGTGAAAAAAGGCAGTAACACACACAGACCCAGCCCGCTCAGTCCAGGCTCACCCTGTGGGGAATCTGACCACCCCGAGCTTATCTTTGTGACTGCAGGGATGGGAAAAGAATTTGGGTCCAATAACTGCCATAAATAACACACATTCATCTCTTCTAGTCTGAGGCTGGTGTGATATTAGTCCCCTCTTTGTATCACATAAAAAACGTATACGTTCCAGTATTTTAGTAAGGAAAGCACAATAACAGCATGCAGCCAGACATGCCATGTGATATGTGGTTTTCATAAAATAAAAGCCAAAGGAACTCCCTCGCACATTTTTCAGTAAGCTGGTGACATCTACTGGTCAGAGAATAAAACAACAGGGTACACACAGAATTAATTAGCTTCACTAACAGGGTGCATTTTACATTTATGTAGAGACTTCGCAAAGATATGTAAAAAAAAAAGAAAAATATTAAAGGGTTTGGGATGTCGGTTGTTAACATAAAAACTAGTAACACACAAATTTTGAAATCAAGATTTCATCCAATATGGAACAAAACTAAAGTGAAACATTAGAATACAGCTTGGAATGACACACAGCCTGGAAGCTTTTATTCCATTTCTCCAAAGTCTGAGCTTTAGACTCTGTTAGTTTCTGTTTTGGTTGTTATCTTAGTACTTTGAATTCTTTTCTTAATATACTATATCATCTTTGGTTCCTGTCTAGTTTTTCCCGAGTTATGGATACCTGTTTATATGATTCTCTGTTTAGATTCCTCATATGTTTTGTTTTCTCTCTGTTCCATTGTTTTCCTCTCTGTATTAACGTGAGTGTTTGCATTTAGTATCTGCCTTCTGGTTACCTCCAGTTAACACATAAAGACAACCGTGCTGAGTTTCTAATTACCCTATCCCCACTAAGTGCATGTCTTTGGACTGTGGAAGGAAGCTGGAGTACCTGGGAGGATCCCACGCAAACTCAGGACCTTTGTGCTGTGAGGCAACAGTGCTAACCACCGTACCACCGCTTTACCTGTATGTTGTTACTAATTATGGGACGTAACATCATTAGTCATTCCCTCACCAGCACTCTGTATAAACAGTCCTGTCTTTCTGCTTGTGTTTGTTACAGTTTTTGTTCCCTATCTGCAGGCCTACTATAGTACTTGGTTCATCTTTTTGGATTATTGTTTGTACACTTTCTGTTAAGAGCCCATTGTAATTGTTTATCTGTTGAAAGTTCAAGAGTCTCTAGTGGTTGCCATGGCTTAATTGTCAATTGTCTACACCTGTCGTAGTGTGGATAAAGGCATGCCTGAGGCAAATTTGAGGGTTTTTCTTTTTGCCTTCATGCTGTGTGGGCTGTTTTTAGTTGGGGTTATTACAGGATTTAAAATAACATTTATGTTCCAACAAACTCTCCTTTATTTTGTAGCTTTCCTGCAGGGTCATAACTCAATCAATAGTCTTTAGAAGAGATTAAATATCAGCAGTTGTCTTGGTGGGGTGAGTGATGGTTTATTTAAGGCGTTCACTGCGACTGAGCAGACTGTCTTTAGAGTTTCAGCTGGGTGTCTGTGCTGCCCTTCCGCTGAAGTACTTGTTTCTTATTTTGTTTTGTTTTAGTTTGTGTTTGGAGCTTGCCTCAGGTGGTGGTTATACTTTGGAGTTTGGAGTGAATGACATCTGTGATGGGTCTGTTTGAGTTTAGCATTGAAACGTGCCTTAGGGCTGGCACGCTACTGAAAACCAGGTATGCACAGTTTTCTTTGTGTTATGCTGAAAGTTGCTCAAAGTTCAAGATTCAAGATGCTTTGCCATTATGCAAGCAGAGCAAAATTAAAGCAATACTCCCTTGTGTGATGCAATAATCTAAAATAACATAAACATACTGAAATATTATTATAATAATGGATTGGATTTATATAGCACTTTTCAAGGCACCCAAAGCGCTTTACAATGCCACTATTCATTCACTCTCACATTCATACACTGGTGGAGGCAAGCTACAGTTGTAGCCACAGCTGCCCTGGGGCAGACTGATAGAAGCGAGGCTGCCATATCGCGCCATCGGCCCCTCTGGCCAACACCAGTAGGCGAGTAGGGTAAAGTGTCTTGCCCAAGGACACAACGACCAGGACAGAGAGCCCGGGGATCGAACCGGCGACCTTCCAGTTACAGATGCGATTCCCAACCCCCTGAGCCACGGTCGCCCTTAATATGACATACACTATTTAAATAAAATTTCCTGATGTGAATTAAAATGTTTAAACATTTATACCATGCCTACCCATCTAGTAACACTGGGATGTAAGAATATTGCACACTTAAACTGAACGTGTGTAATCTACATATTATAAGACATTAGGAGCTATGTCCTGATGGGTAGGACGTGGAATTAGGCAGAAGAATATTGCACATGGTGGTTTCTTCATAGTTACTGTTGGACTGAGGTCAGCAGTGTTTGGGGAAGAAGCTGTTTTGGTGTGTTAAACCAGTAACACTGAATTGAACCGTTTGAGATCCCTTACTAGTTATGGCCCTCTGGCTGTGTCAGGTAAGCGTGCGCGCGTACATCTGCAGCAGTGTTTATGGATGACTAATGAGAAGGTGAGTGTTTTGTGCAGTGACCTTCAGTGTTGTGGCGATGTCGGCCTACTTGTGGTGGATGACTTGTGAATGTTGCTGGCCACGTGACGGCATTAACTGCGGTGCTGAGCCGACCTTGTGATAATTATGTGGGTATAATTCTCATTTGTGAACAGCAACTTGTTGTGTTATGGGGTTATTTTGTATGTGACTGTGTTTTGTGGGGACAAAAGATCCCTTCTGGTTGGGATTAGTGGTTCTTTTTGGTTGTGTGGTAGTAATTTTGTTTGTTTAATCCTTTCAGTTTGTGGTTCTTGTGCTCATGATGTTACGATTGTCCATTATTGCAACTTGTGGCATACTCATGTTGGAGTATCCATGTATATTTGGCATGGTGCACTTAAAATGGGGTTTTTGCTCTGCATGATGCACTTTAGCAACTGAGTATTCTGTGCAGGGTTGCTTATTGTTTCATTAGAATTTTAACAAATAAGTACCTTTTCCCTGTTGGAAAGCACATGTGATGGCTTGCTTTCCCCAGTGGTTTTCAAATTTGGGCGAGTCCAGAAGTTCTATTTGGGGCTCTTGGAGTGACCCTTTTGACGGGAACTGTTTAAGTCCTCTTCAGCTTGTACTCGTGAAAGAGTCTCTGGGTGTTGCCAAGATTTAATTGCCAACTGTCTACAGAGTGGATAAAGTAAGGCTGGCTAGGGGAGATGTCACCACTTGCCTTGTCTTTTCTTTCTTTTTCTTTTCTTTTCTTCTTTTTTTTTTTTTTTTAAACTAAAGGTGTGGAGTAATTTAAAATAAAAAATACGTAAAACCTTATGTGGACTCCAGTGTAAATCTTAACTTAATGTTGTGGTTTTGGAGCCATGTTGAAGTATGTTTAATGTTGTTATCTGGCAGATTAAACTGAGAAAATTGACCTACCTTAAGAAAAATATTAACTTGTTTAGAATTTGATGGCAGTAATACCTCTCAGAGTTGGGACAGGGCCATGTTCCCTGTGCCTCTTTGTCTTAGGATTCTAGCTGGTCCTGGGTCTTTCATTTTTGTCATTTTTGAAATGGACAGAGTTGAACAGTTTCTTGCTTGGATATGGAAAGTCATTCCCTAAAACAACATTCCATGGATGGGCCTACATGTTGCTCTTAAACCTCTAAAGTATTAATGCTACCTTTCCAGATGTGCAAGCTCCCAATTCAATTTCATTAATGTACCATCAGAGATGCAAGTCACTTTCACATATTGGCTTCTTCTTTACATGACAGAGCTTTAACCTCCTGAGCCCATGCCATGATTTCATGTCAGAATCACGTCTGTCTTTAATGCAGTGTTCTCTGATGGCCCTCAGCTCATAGGGATCCAATAATGACTTTGGCCTTCTCCCTCGCACACAGATTTCAACAGAACCTCAGAACGCTGATGCTGTGTGACGTTGATGACCAGATATTCAAAGTCTTTGCAATTTCACATTGAGGACCATGATTCTGAAATTGGTTTGCAAAATTGCAGACTGAACCTCTGCCCATCTCGAATTCTGAGAAAGTCTTCCTCTCTGAGATGCTTTTTATACACAGTCATGTTACGGTCCTGTTGCCAGTTAACTTAGTTTAATTGGTTACAAAGTGTTCCTCCAGCTGTTTCTTGTTAGTACCACTTCTTTAGGTTTTTTTTTTGTTTGTTTGTTTTTTTTTGTTCTCATCCCCGTGCTTTTGAGATATGTTGCTGCCATCTCAGCATTCTTAAAATTGGGTTTGTATGTTTGCAATAAAATGGAAAGGAAACGGAGGAAAGAATCTTTATTTTTGGCTTGGTCTTGCATTCTATTGGTAGCAATAACACTAATTACCACTAGTAGTAGTTTATCATTTTTCCATTCAGTTTTATTTACATTGCTCCAAATCACAACAACAGTTGTCCCAATATGCAGCAAGGTACAGAACGAATGATATTGGTGATAAAATCACAATAAGCAATGGAAAATGCCTTCCTTTCAACAGGAACTGATATGTTTGCATATGTTCTTAATATGATGTAGCCTAAACTGCAAAATCGGTAGTGGAAAAAACAATCCCTTTCAACAGGAAGAAACCTCAAGAAAAAACAGGTTCGGGGAGGGGCAGCCATCTGCTGCGACCAGTTGGGGGTGAGGGGAAACAAAAGGAGAGCAGAGGGAGATGGAGACAAAACACAGGAAGAAAATTGCATACAGCGGTGTTACAGAAACACCTGGAGTGAAACGAGGTGCATCGAAGAAATGCTTAGTGCGTCACAGACAGTCCTACAGCAGCCTATGCAGCATAAAAAAAAGTGATGCTTCAAGGTCACCTTATCCAGCCCTAACTGATTCTGATCTCAAATATTACAGTCAGGATCTGAAAATAATTATTTTATCCTGACTTCAAAATTAGATTTTACTCATTGCTGACTTTGCAGATTAACAAAAGCCTTTGCCGTGATCCATGCTTATATGTGAGTTTCCTGTCTCCACATTACCCCATGCTGCAAGTATGCATGTGTGCCATCTCTATCCATCTGTGAGTCAGTCATCAGTTCAAGTAGCAGACTGATTACAGAAATGCAAACAGATTCTTCAAGCTATCCTGACCCTGCCATCACCATCATTATCCTGGGAGGAATAACAAGGAGCTGAAGACAGAGCAAAGAGAAACGCTTAACAGATTATTTGAAAACTGTAGTTTTCAAATAGTCACTGGATAAATATTGCAAATTATGCAATGTAGCAAGGGGAGAGATATACGGTTGATTTTATTGCTTGCATCTCTTCTGGCTTCAGGATTCAAAAAGAACTTTTTCTGATGACGCTTTATTCTGGGGGATCAGCTGAGGTTTGCACCAATATGATACACATTTCATCTCAAATCTGTGGACTATGCAGCCTTCCCTCTTCTGGATGTGGTTTCCATTATTGCTTTTGGCAGTAGGAATTTTTGCTCCCATAAGGCCACAAGATTATTAGTAAGGTCAGCTACTGATGTTACAAGATAAGGCCTTAAAGATGTCTCTCTGCAGACAAATCAACCCCTTTAACTGGAAAATGAGTGCTATGCAAAGGTCTTGAACCAGCCTTCCTTTCGTCATATTTTTCTTCCAAGCCAGACTTTTCTTTTGTTTAAGGAGATCTTGAGCAATAGTTCAAGACATGCATAAACAAGCTACATGTCCACACACAACTTGGCAAAGAACCAATTTTCAATTTGTATCTTTAGGCACTTTGTAGCAGCCTGTCACAAAACTGAGTTTGTTCCGATTTCTTTTGTTAAATATATGAAAACGCCAAAGATAACAGTTTGACAGGCATAAAATAGTCAACAAGGTGATTCCCAAAGAGCAATTTACTGTAAACTCGGCATGTCTTGACATGATGTGCAGTGTGTGGTTAAAATTTTGAAGAAACTAGACAAGTGGAGGACAAAAGAAATCATGACAGGCGTAAAATCTCTGTTGCAGGCAAACATCTGAAAAATCGTACTTAAGACAGATAAAATCCAGCAAAAAAGACCTGCGAGATTCATCTGATCCTTTAGTTGATTCATCTATTGTTCACTGAAGCCTGATAAGAAATGGGCGCAGTGGAAAGCTGACTGTCAAGAGGCAGTTCCTTAAGGAAGGAAGTAGAGCTGGGCGATAGAACGATAACGATATGTATCGCGATATAACTTTTTCTCGATAGAAAAATTAAACTATCGCGATAGACCTCGCCGCTCTTGTCCTCTTTTTTTTAAAAAAAAATAAATAAATAACAGCCAATCCAAATTACGTAGCGCAGAGCCGAACCAATCACAGCCGCAGCGTCACGTCACGTGACTTGTTACGTACAGCACAAGTGCCAAGCTGCACGTGTATTTTTTTGGGAAGCAGCCAGCCACCGTACCACCCGGGTAATGGAGGAAATGAGTGTGCCGACTAGAAAAATCAACCGAGCGTGACCGAAGGTTACCGAAGAGAAAACAGATGATGGTTCCAATGCCGGAGAGATTGTCGAACGGAAGAGCCATAGAAGTTCCGTAGTGTGAAGGTATTTCGGCTATTTCAAGTCTGACAAAAAACAGAGTAGCGTGCACTGTAAATTGTGCCGAAAGCAAGTCTGGAAATACAATAAACTGGTGCATGCGCTACGTCCACACGTACCCGGGTATTTTTGAAAACGCAGATTTTTCTATGCGTTTGCACCTTTCGTCCACACGTAAACGGCGTTTTTGGTCACTGAAAACGAAGATTTTTAAAAACTCCGTTTTTGCATTTACGTGTGGACTAGAAAAACGGAGAAAACGCAGCGTCAAAGGTGTGCGCATTTTTTGACGTCACACTGTGCGCCACGTTATTGTTTCGGTGAAATGAATTTCTACAATACTGTTAATTCTACTCTCTGCAGTGTTTAAATGCTTACATATACACACAGTTACTGTCCCTCCACACATACGACTCGGTTCTGCTTCTATGCCCCAGCTTTGTTTACTTTTTCCCACCGAGGCTTCTAGACTTCTGATTGGCCAACATTTCTGCACGGTTAGGAATCTAGCGCCACCTGCTGCTTTGGCATGTTCATAGCAGCGTTTTCCTTCATTTCTGCCTTTATGTGTGGACGGGATTATTTTTTAAAACGAAAACGGAAAATCTCCGTTTTCAAAAATACCCGTGTACGTGTGGACGTAGCCTCAGTCTCTGACTGGAAGCGCTAATTCGTCATTCGGCTTTTGTCAGACTAAAGTAACTGTTAAAACTGTTTGAAAAGCTAAGCTATACAACAAGGAGAGATTGAGAATTTCCTTTTAGTTCTCAGTTTATTTGATATTGACAAAAGTTAGTCAGTTTTGTCTGTTCTTCTGTAAAACAAACTAAGATTTATTTTTAGAATTAATATTTTGTTTCTAAGTGGAATTGACAATTTAGTCTGTTTGTTTGTTCTATTTTGAAACTTAAACGCTTTAGCGGCTGCCTTTTGTGTAGTTTGCAATATTTGCCTTTATTTATCTGAAAAAGTCTCATGTTCCTTAAGTACATCTACCCTGTTGAACTTATTATGGGAAATAAATATTTAAATAAAAACAAGCTGCTGATTATTTCACATTTTACTTGTGAGCAACGGCACATTTAAATCTTACAAATATAGTTATTTGGCTTATATCGTGATAGATATCGTTATCGCCTGAAATGAAAAAAACATATCGTGATATGAAAAAATCTCATATCGCCCAGCTCTAGAAGGAAGGAAGGGGGGGGCAAGGTATGACCGATTACACATTAATGTGACTGAAAATCAGTGGAAACGGATTTCATGGAGTGGTGGATCTAAACATATCAGTTTGCACATCATACATATTTAACATATCATTCAAACACAACTACAGCCATGTGTAAAACACGGTGGAGGCTCTGTCATGATTTGATGCTGCATCTCAACCTGTGGAGGTCTTAATCTGCCAGATAACAACATTCAACATGGTTCAAAAACCACAACATAAAGTTAAGACTTACATTGGAGTCCAGATGAGATTTAATTTATTTATTTTTATTTTAAATTACTCCACACATTCAGTTAAAAAAAGAAAAGAAAATGACATTGATAGATTTGTGAATGCAGAAAAAACCATCAGATTTTATTTGACCAGTACCGTCTGGAAAACACCTGATTGGCCACAGCTTTATTTTTTTAGCGCAACAACAATTTCAAACACACTGCTGATATAGAAATAGAAATAGAAAAGCACACAAGGAAAATTATCGGTCATGGATTGGCCTCCCCAGAGCTCAGATGTCAACATAACTGAAGCAGTGTGGGTTAATCTTGATAGAGAACAGAAGCAAAAGAGAGCCAAAACATGTTGAAATATAAAGGACAATCATACCAAATATTGACTTTCAAGCTTCTTAGAAGTGTACAAACTGTTTTTCCTTACATACTGTAATAAATCACTGCAACTATTTCCCATCTTCCTAGAAAATGATAAAGGCTGTACACTCCTCCATGAACCACAATGGCACATTCTGTGAAGATGAAACAGTAACAAGTCTTCAGAATTTGACTATAAATGCGTTAGTGAAACACATAATTAGTTTATTTCACGAAAGGCAAGCAAGGTGGGGCCCTGTTTTGATACTACAGTGCATCAAGTTAAAATAACAATGAGATAAACTGCCTTAAGACTGCATAGATGTTTCACAGATGAAGTCTTAATGACTTTGGTGATGCTTCACTTTTCATCTTGTGCACCAACAGATCAAATGAACGAATGTCTGCCTCAGCTGTTGCTAAAAAGTGCGCATGCTGAACACATGGTTTCCATTAAATAATTGTTGTCATTTGGAAGCTTTGAATAGTTTATCACTTCAAAAGAATGTATGTGAGGTCTCCTGGGAAATGAGCTTATCTTTGTGCATGTTGTCAGTTTATACCCCATAAACTGACAACATGCACAAAGATAATTAGCACAGAAAAGACAAGAGCCACACTCATTGTTCTGGTTAATTTTTTACCAGCTATCCCTGATTGAAAATCCAGTCGCAGGTAGAGTATATCATCTTCTGCATCCTGCTCACAGACTGTTGCTTTTCCTGTGTAATTAGGTCAGTAGAACTCTTTGCTGGCAAGCTCATGAATTATTGATTTACTATAGTCTGCCAAATTCCCAACTTCACTTTCATCAGACTTTACTCATTTTCACTGGAGACATTCTGTATAATAAGCGTGCTCACGATTTTAATTGGCCCGCAAGATTTAAGAGATAATGTGTCTGAGTGTTCCTCAATATAAACCATAAGAGTTCATGCTGTATTTTACAGGATTCTCAAGAAAAAAAATCACTCCCATCAAAAAAATTAAAAAAAATAAAATCATGCACTCCATTTTTAACATGCACTATAAAAAATGTCCGAAGCTTTTTGTGTCTATTTTATTTCTAGTCTGTAGCACATTTTTGACCCAAAGTGCAGCAGAGACAGGCACATTTGCATTCCAGGTCTCCAAACAACAACAAAAAAGAAGCAGTTTCAAAATAAAGCTGAAAGGTAGGTAACCAATTATTGTGGAAAGTAAAAATCACAACAATCTGAATTGAGAATTGGCAAACTGATGATTTATCTCATAAAGCTCATAAATTGCATAAATCATGACACATTGCTCTGTCCTATATGAGCTGCCTTCCTGGGTTAAAAATATCTGTGTTGGTTTCGGCAATACCGATCCTGCTGTATTTGCAGAACTACCAGTTAACCCAACCCTTACTAAATCACATGTCTTTATACTATGAGAGAAAGTCACGCCGACCAGAAGAACATGCAAACTCCACACAGAAACTGTACATCACAAGCACAGTGTTAAAAAAATATCTTTCATAGTGGTTTTCAAAATAAAACAGAAAGCAACTATACAGTTGCCACAGTGAAACCAGTGAAGAGATTGGGGAACTGGAACCTGTTTTACAAAGCGGCCCTGCGTCCACACCTAGTTTTAGTTTTGTGCTGAAAGAGGACCATTCTGTTTAAAAAAGAAAAAAAATATGCAGGTTAACTGTAAGTTTAATCAAATTTCTTTCCTACAGCACTGGATGACACGGGTGTTTGAGTTTGGATGCTGGTAGGTTGAAGCAAACTTTTGCACTTATGTAACAAAATAAGTTCCTCTGGTGTCTTGACAAGAAACCCAAACCACATTAGTGTTTGTCAAATGAGTGGAATTTTATTATAAAGAGCATGACTTAGATAATAGGTGATGAAGTGATTAAGAGCAGATTTTGCCATTTGCATTTAAAGTGAAGGTAAAGGCTAGAAATAATGGCATATGTCAGTTTGGCTGGGGATTTTGGGACTCCGACGTGAAATGCTCACACTTCTATTTGAAGGCATGTCTGTGCTCAGTAAACCGAAGCTGAAAGAACTGACTGTGTCCACACGGCTTTTTGTTTCCTCAGTAAACTTTTGGGATTGAATATGGATCATGAGCAGATCATTTGAAGTCATTTTGTTGCAACGCCCTCACCTTTCAGCACTGAAGAAACAGCTGAGTACGATTCTGTGGTTTGGTCGCTCTGCAGACTGCGGTTCACTTATGACATATCATTTAGTAGGGTTCACTTCTCCAAAATGGAGCTTTGTTGACAGAGTAAGTCCATAAATTCTAGACAGACATCCTGCTGGGTTGGCTTAATGCCCAGTCAGTAAGATTTGCAGTGACTCTTGGAAGAGAAAGAAAAATGTAATCAGAAGGTGGTAATGCAATATGCCACTAGACACTGAAAGGCTCCCAGTAAGTGCCATATTTAAAACAACAGTTCTGGTTTTTACTGCATATTTGTGTTGACTGGACCCCTTTCTTGTGGACATTCGCTTCAAAGTACAAAACTGCCTTTTTGATAAAAGAATATTACACATGTAGCCTTGATTTGTGTGCCTGTGTTATAGCCTACAACTTTGATCTGTTGTAGGCTTTGACCTTTGATAACCACATTTTTCCCCAATGACTGTATTTCCAATCTTTTGATAAAGAAAATTGTAGAAAGATGGAAACAAAACAGCTGGTTTTAATTTTTTCAACACAGCTGTGGCACCACACCTTGTCAAGAAAAAACAAAGACTAGACGACTGCAGATGTCCATAAAAGAGTCACTGAAACCCTCACGGCTGGTTTATTGTACTGTGTGTTGTTCAGTCAGTGTGGCTCCATTTATATGTATATGTATGTATTTGGGTCACCGCCTTTTTCTCAGGCTACAAAGCCTTGTGTTGCACCTTGTTCGGGAGGTAATCGTCACATCGGGATTACGCACCTTTGACCTCCAGCACTGTCAACAGTAAGCGGCTCACTGAGATAGGCTACCAGCGACCAAATCCACCAGCAGCAACCGGTTTGTCACATGACTGCTGTGCAGCTCAGTCTGGCTCTGTGTGTGTGTGTGAGAGAGAGCCTGTTCAGCTTTTATTTCCGTGTTCGCAGAGGGATCGCTGTGCCGAATGACTTTCCGCGGATCCTGAGTGTTTTGCTTTCTTCCACGCCGCGAATCTGCGTCGCCGTGCGGGGATCTGCCAGGGAGACTGGAAGAGGGGGGTGCGTGTGGGGTGGGGTGGCATTCACGCAATCGCATTGCCTGGACCCACGCCGCAGCAGGACCATGCTCACGCGGGTGAAGTCGGCGGTAGCCAATTTCATGGGAGGTATGATGGCCGGTGGCTCCAACGGAGACCATCCCAGCGGCTCGGATCTGCCGCTGAAATTCCCGTACACCCGACCGGACTTCCTGGGACTGTCGCCAGACGAGATCGAGTGTTCGGCGGATCACATCGCAAGACCGATCCTCATCCTGAAGGAGACCAAGCGGCTGCCGTGGTCCACCGGCTACGCAGAGTGAGTATAACCTGTATGCGTCCATCTTTTCTTCCACGCAGCATCCTTTGGAAGTGAGCGCGGTCTTCCTGGACCACTGAGAGCACTCACACAGGCGTAAACAGAAAACACAAGCCCCTCTCTTTATTCTTCTACTTATTATGATCTACTTCACATATGTTTCAGATGATAAACAGGTTCAAGTACAGCTGATGGCTCTATAATGCACCATGCCAAATATTATTATAAACATCAAGGTTTCCTGTATTTCCAAGACATAAAAATACCTCCACCAAGCTGAAGGTCGTTGTGATCTCTCCCCTGTAACCAGATAAGAATGCTTTATTTTTCAAATGGTGTAGAAAAGGGAAAGATACCATAAAGCAGGTTATAACGAGGCCAGTTAAGCTGGATAACACAAGGTCACAGGCCTTTGATATTGTATGAGATAAGCAGTGCACTCACAGATAGGATCTGAATAACTGTCTCCAGGTTCATCTTTGTACTCGGTTCACTCGTTCCCTGTGTGAAAAATCTCATTTCAATAGTTTTTCTCAGTTAATCTGTTTAAAGCTGGGGAATTACCTCGAATGTAGCTTATGTTACACTCCCGTGATCCTCTTACATGATAACTTGAGACCAAAATTGCAACTGGACCTGAGATCATCTGCTGTATTATTGATATCACATCTTCTGTTTAGGCATACATTTGGCTCTCACGAATCTTCCTTCCAAGGCTGCAGTAAAGTGCAATACAAACTGCAATGTATTCTTAATGGACGTACTGTGTTATAAACAGCGCTTAGTGCAGCTGCTGGAGTCATAAAAAGCCAATTTCTGGCTTGGCGTTTGGTCAGCAAGGAACACAGCTGAATTAAAATGGCGGAACATGATAAAATACATGGTGAATTATTCAACCTGTTTCTAAAGCCTACACACTGGAGAGGAAACAAATGAGTCATTGAGATTTACATGCTTAAAAATAATTACTTCATCACTATGTTCCATTTACATTTGATGTACACAGCTCAAGTAATCTGGGGATGTCTCATTATTATCTGCTTCCTGAGAGTGCAGAGTCACAGTCCCTCCTACTCATGCAGTCCCACAAAAAGTCAGTGAGGTTGTGTCCTGTCCTAAAAATCCTAAACCTACACCTACAGTGCGTGACTGCCCCACGCCCCAGTTCAGTCTTATCTTCATGCCGTTTCTCTATAAAGAAGTTTCTCTTTCCTTATTGATCGATTACATTTAGTAAGAGCACCAGGATGGAAATCTAATATTTCCAGTTTAGCAGTCCTGCTAGGAAGCCAGTTTAGTAGTGCAAGCGAATGTCATCTCAAGTCGAGGCTTTCTTGCTGTAGCACTCTTTTCTTAAGACACGGCTGCTTGAGCAGCATAGAGACAAGGACCTGAAAGAGCACTTTGGCTTATCAGTTGACCTGATCTTTTGTTAATGTTTCCTCTTGCTTTATGCAGTAAAAACATTAAATTATAGCAGGAAATGATCCAAATCATTTCCAGGAGCTCAGTGTGATCTGTTAATACTGGTTATTTGTAAAAACATTACTTCCTAAATCCTGAATTTTTAGAAGTTGGAAGAAGAGAATTAAAAAAAACATTTCTTGCTTAAATACAGCAGATCATTATTATTATTATTATTATTATTATTATTATTATTACTTTTTGCTGATCAGCTAGTTGATAAATTGACTGTTTCAATACTAGGAGAGCTATCTGCTGTCTCTTCATGTAGATTTAAGAAGTACAGAGAAATTGTGGGAGTCGCCCTTATTTATTTATTTATTTATTTATTTATTTATTTATTTTTACTAAACTACCATAGTGAATTTTTAATCTCAAGACATAAAAGAGCAGATTAGGACTGGCTTTTGTTTTTAGAAGCCATCGACTATTTTTATGATCAAAGTTTCCATTAAAATGAAAATTCAGATTTTTGTGTAGATACTGTGATCATTGTTATTCATCATCATTGTGTCACAAGGTTTCTGTGGCTATAAAAATCAACATATTCAAATGAGATGCATAATTCTGCAGGATCAGTTCAACAGTTCTGCTTAACACATCCAGCGGATACTCCCGCCAGCAGTGTGTGTGTGTGTGTGTGTGTGTTAGTTTGGCATAGAATCAACCAAAACCGAGACATACGTCATACCAGGGATTTGTCAACAGCTGGCTGACCAGCAGGCTTTGTTGTCATGAAATATCACTGCCAGCTGAGAAAACCTGAGCCCATCTGAGAAGTGGTGATCCGTTGCAGGTCTACTCAGAAGGATTAGTGGAGTCAATGGATCACTTTGATAAACCAAAAAACATGAAGACTTTGAAGGTACTATACCAGCATATAGTACTGACCAAATTTATTGCTTTTTTTGTTTTTTTCTTTCTACTCAAATGGCTCATGTTTGTTGCACTTTTTGCTTTTTTTAATATTATGAATATTTAATCCCTCTTGTAGGTTTGATTGAAACATTTGACCACTGGCGATGGAAAGTAAAAGTCAGATTGGGCTTAGGCTGGCTCAGCCTCATTTTTCTCCTTCTTGCTCCTGCTCTTCTGAGTAGTCCTTGCTGAGCTTTCTGAGGTTATCCTGGGTTATTTCGTGGCTTCCAGCAGAGAAAGAATGAGCAGTTCGCCTTCACAAGGAGGATTCTGATGCACTGTCTCTGAGTGGGTGCACTGTCTGCTCCAGTGAACGCGAACATTTGAATGGATCACTGAGTATTGCTCACTCCAATTGTGTCACTGTCTCTTTGCAGCACACTCGCATGCCTCACTTTTGCAGAAAGGTAACACTTACAGCAGCTCTTCCCCAGTGTTTTATTTTTTCTTCCCCTAAACACAAAGACCACTAACGTTTCGCTTGTTCATTCTATTGTTTGGGTGTAGCACTGTCATGCTATGTGTTGCTTGACTTTCCCAGACTTGAGAAGCTGAGGGGAGTTTCTCTTGCTCTCACCTTAATCAAGCTTATCTAGCTCTCAAAAGACTCAGTTAGTCTTTTATGTGGTCAAAATATAAAGAACAGTATGGAAGAAAGGAATGAGTCCATGGCTTATTTAACAGAAATGTACTCGCAGAACAACAGGGGAGTTTACTTTTGCAGCTAGTATGCAAGTTAGCAAGCCATACCAGGTTTCTATGTGTGATAGAGAGTGGTCAATCGTGTTAAATTGTAGGGGTGGGGGAAAAAAATCAGTATATAGTATCATGATATATTGCATGGCATATGTATTGATCCAGGGACACCAAATATCCATATTTTATTAAATAAGTTAAAATAATCTAGGAAAACTATGGGCACATCTCATGTGCCACTATCCTGAGATAATGTTAGCCAAGCACTTACATTAAATCAAATCAAGTGAAAAACCATCCAACACTGGACACACGACCTCCTAATTCAAAGCAAGCTAATGCTCTGAATTAGTCACACAAGTAAAACTAGGACAGCAACATCTTTGTAGGTGTATATTGTTTGCCCTGAACCATTGGTGCTGTACACTCATCACCACTTTTGATTGCAAGGTGATTGCGCGGTTCGCCAGATAGGAGGCAACCTTTCTGCAAACAGTTGCAGTCTGACTTGAACTGTCTGCAATAACTCTCAGAGAAATTGTCAAAGGTTTGTAAATAACTACTGTTCCATTTATAAATCCAGAGCAAGTGAGCATAACTCAACTCAGTTGGCTGCCAGCTGGTTGTACTCGTACGAAACAGGAAGGTTCTTGAAAAATGATGTAATGATTAAATGTAAATTTCCTTCAAATGTGAATTCCTATGTAGACAGAGGCATATAAGTAATGTTTTTTTTTGATGATTTATCACAGTTTCATTTCATTTCCTGTAACTGCCAACATGACCTAGTTGAATCAGCAGACTGACTCCATCTTATTGCAACATTTTGGCAGGTTTTAGTGTCAGTGTTGTTCTGCTTGACAACCTAATTGAGCAGCATAAATAAAATAAATTAAGTAAGATAAGGTTATCTTATTGGATAAAAGAGTCAATGAAAAATTTTATCTTCGAGATTTAATTTGCAGCATGAAAAAAGTGATAAATCACAAGATATGTCATTGCAATCCTCAGCATATCACATAATGTTAAAAATCGCAATAGTTTTGTATGTTAAGTGAAATATTACGATAATATTGTATTATGGGGAATCTGGTGATTCTAACCTTTATTAAACAGATTTCTTAGACTTTGGCTTTTGGTTTTTGTAAAGGCAGTTAATCTTACCTACTAATATTTGCTAAAGTATGACTGAAATTTGTTTTTTGGGGAGGCCAAATGCTTGTGTTGACCTCCACCCACTCATTCAATCACTCACTGACCCAGTGGACACTGCAGCCTCAGTAGTACAATCAATACTCAATCAATATGCGTGTCTGTAAGGTAAACACTAGTCCCACCACTGTGCACTGCATGTTTTATCTACAGGTCTGCTGGCATTCATATGTGAGGGCATGCCGGTGAGATGATCAAATCTGTTTTAACAGGTGAGAGAGTGGGCGCTCCGAGGTGTTTGACAGCTAGGGTGTGTTCAGCTAACATTTTCAAGGTAACAAAAGATAACATTTTTTCAAGCAGCACAAACATGTGGCATAGTAAATGTGGATAAGCATTATCAGTGCACTGTCTTTCCGGTAACCTACATAATTTATCATTCCCATGGGAAAGAAGATGCATAAAGTAAATGTCAGTCCCAACTGTGGAGAGGAGGCGCATGAGCAGCACTTCATACATACAGTGTTTCCCAGTGCTTGCTCTGTCACATGGTGCAGCACATGGTTTTTTGCTTATGTTGCTTATACACATCGCTCAGAGGTGGGAATGACATAATCCTGATGAATCTGTATCTTAAGTATGAGTAACTGTTGAACAAAACACGTGTTGCACTTCCTTAATCAAGTTATCATGACTGATATCATGATAATATTATTCTGCAGAAGAAGTGACAGGAAGCTGTAACAGCATATAACCACAAAAGTAGAAAG